ATTATTCACAGATTCTAGGTCAGGCTTTACAAAAGCGCACTAGAATAAAAGAACTAATCTACAATTCACTTCACAAGCTTAAACTCTCCTACATATCTTAAGACTCAAGACACTATATATATATGTGTTTTGCAATAGCTGAGTGTCCGAAAGAACGAAGCTAATCGCCTAATTACTTACACTTCGCAAACCCTTTTTTTCGTTGTTTAAAAAGTAATAATTCTCAAAACTACCCACCTGTACCACGTTAGAGTAGAGTTTGGCATTTTCTTTTAGTTTTACGGAATACTTCTCCAAGTCGAACTTGGGCGCATTGTCATTTTCATCCGTCACCACAACACGCACTTGCACTGATCCATTCCTGGGTGGGTTTCCGCCATCAAAAGCAGTCAAGGTGAACAGGTAAATGGGTACCTTCTCACGATCCAATTGCTGGCGTATCACGAGGCGCAGTTCATTACGAGCTGTAGCTGCAGCAGCTGCTGCTGCCATGGAAACTCCAGACATGGATGGTTGATAGATAAATGAGGAGAGGCTTGCGTGTGTAGTGCTACCACCGGCCGATCGACTTGACGGCGAGCCTTCCATGCTTGCTATCATCTTCGACGTCTCTTCAAAGTCGGTTTCAGAGGACGAGAATTTTCGTCCTCCCCAGTCCAAGTCGAACTCAGGAAGCTGAGGCGTCATTTCATACCGAACAATGCTGTTGGCGCCGGCATCTGCATCGTGTGCAGGTGTCAAACTGACGGAGTCCCCGATCAAACTGCCCTCCGACATCTGTACAATCATCGGACGCTATTCATTGGTTGATTTATAGTATCAAGACACAAGCATCGAAACAAATTAATTAATAATATTCATCTTGGAATCAATATTGAATGAATCATTAATTCATTATTCTCTATACTTTATCATTCTAATTCATATATGCATGTGGCATGTGAGTTAAAAAATAATCTTCGGGTTGTCTTCATCTAATCTCTCGTTCATCTGGTAGCATTATTACACTTATGTATCTCGTCAACCACTAGATGTTACCAATGTCAACATCACCATAGTACTTGGAACTGTATTCATTCTATTTCGTTAAGTTGATCGAGGATTGGTAAGTAAGCCTTAAGTTTCAATTACATTTCAAATAAACTTGCTTCCCAAAAGGTATTCTTAATCAGACAGGAGTGGACTGCAGTTTTGACCTCGTCCGAACTTGTCTCATCACTAGCCCCAGCAGGACTCGAACCATGGTAGGGATGAATATAATCTAGGCATGTAACCCTCTACGACGCACTACCTCAAGTGCTCTTTGTTCACAAAACAGATGTCAATTTCAAGAAAGACCAGACATTTTCCCATATCGCATACTATGGGTGCATTTACTATGGCGATCGGCTGCATAACTTATTTTTTGTTTATAAGTCGGTTTTCGAGACTAGCAGTATATCATTTATATGTTACCTTAAATGAAATAGGGTGAATATACTTCATATATAACTGATCTAATGTTAGTCTATAAAACCTACTTATAAACAAAAGAATAAGTTACGTTGTATAGGCTCATGGCAAGTCATATTCATTTTGAAAAGGCTACGATACCAACATAACAAGTCACTCGCCTCTAAGTTAAAACAGTTATGGGCAAGAGGTGAGATGACCACCAGGTCTCTTCTAACATGGCAAAAAG